CCAATGCCCCGAAATGCATGGCCCGCAGCCAGAATTTTCAGAAAATAGTTTTTTTTTTTTTTTTAAAGGAAAAAATAAGAGCGTTGAAAGAAAAATAAAAAATTCACTTTAAAGTAACTTAATAAATTTTCATGAATATTCACATAAACCATGAAAAACATCTACTTTTCTACATAGCCAATATAAATTTCAAAAACAATAATTAAAAATAAAATTGCTAAAAAGATCAAAAATTCTCTATGTAGGACAGATATTTTACTTTCATTGAGGCATTTACAATATAATTATGATGCATAAGTAATATAATTTGTATGAACAATATATTTATATAAAATTAAACTAAGAAAATTTAGAGAAAAATTGCTTTTGCCAAATTTTGCCTTTTATAAATAAAATAAATAAATAAATTCTTATATAAAAAGTATTATTTTAAAAATATTTTAATTAAATAGATAATTTTTTTTATTTTTAAAAATGATATTTTGGCAAGGAAATTTTTCTTAATGTGAAAAAAATTTATATTTTATTTAAAGTTCTCTCATCTATTGCATTTTAGAATTACTATTAATTTACAATAAAATTATTTACAATTATTATCAACCCTGTGGTAGAATCTTTTTTTCTGGCTTTCTGCAAAATGCTCATAACAGATTTACAAGTTATTAATTTAAAGTAATAAAAAGGTTGTTTACCTATATATACAGGGGTGATTGTGAGTCCAAGTCAAAATTCCGGAAAATTTCTTGAGTAAAAAAGACGGTTTAAATTGAAAAATTAGAAAAAAATTTTAACAAGTTTTTTTTTCCCTTTTTCTCAATATTTCTTAGTTTACTTAAAATATATTTAAAATTTTACACATACCTATACCATTTACACATACCTATGATGACCTGGAGAAGTAATTAAAATTATTAATATGTCTGTCTTTCTTAAGGTTATGATTATAACAACTATTTACTGATAAAACATGAATATTAATCAAGAATATAAGCTTATAAAGTATCTCTCTGGCTCTCCCTTACATGCAAATAAAATAAACTGTGTTTTTAAGTTCCACCTTTGAAAATTTGATTTCCCGAAACTTCTGTGATCAATGATTTTTTGAAACGTTTGGACCTTCGATCTCCGGAAACTTCCGGATCACTGTTAGCGAAAAATCCGGAAATCCGGAGCACAATCAGCCCTGTATATATATATATTTGGATAAAATAAAATTGTACATTATTAATTGAATAAATAATATTTTTGATTACAAAATGTGCGTTTTGTTTCGAGATTCGGTTGTTGTAATAAATAATATCGCATTTTAAAAATTATCTGGAAATCATTAGCAATAATTGCAAGATAAAAAAAAAAAAGATCGATAGAATCATGACGATAAAAATTAAATATTTAAATGTGTTGTTCGTATTTTCCATATTGTTAGATATATATCGGGATAATTAAAAAAACACGAAATAATCAATATCTATTATTGCCGAAAACACAATCGAAACTACGTGGAGTTATAATAATATCGGCATTAATTCAACGCATCAAAAAAAGTGAATGCGTGATTCAAATTTTACGTGTAGAAATTATTTGAATTGATAAATAACCGGAAATTTAAAACCCCCGTGGAAATCGGTAGCACCAGCATTAAAGAACAGAAAAAACTATGCCAAAAACTTGATTGTTGTTGTTGTTAATTTACGTCGCACTAGAGCTGCACAATGGGCTATTGGCGACGGTCTGGGAAACATCCCGGAGGATGATCCGAAGACATGCCATCACAATTTCCAAAAACTTGAAGAAAAAAAAACGATGAAATTATCACATTAAAAGTAAATAAATAATTTGAGTTTTGCGATTGTGATATAAGTCATACGAGTTTTCTTTCAATTGCAATAAAAAGCTTCGGGAATTTTTTTTAAAGGGAAAATTTTTAGCAATAATTGCCGAAAGAACAATATTGTTGTTGTTAATTTTACGTCGCACTAGAGTTGCACAATGGGCTATTGGTGACGGTCTGGGAAACATCCCGGAGGATGATCCGAAGACATGCCATCACAATTTTGATCCTCTGCGGAGGGGATGACACCCCCGCTTCAGTAGCCCGACGACCTGCGCGCGAAGTCGAGCACTTTACGTTAGCACAGTTTAACGAGGACCAATACCGCACACCCTCGGTCCCTACGCAGACTGATCCAAGTGGTCACCCACCCGCACGCTGACCGTAGCCAGTGATGCTTGACTTCGGTGACCTGCTGGGAACCGTGTCTTAACAATCAGTCCACAACGGGACCCGCAAAAATGAACAATGTTTGAACGAAAGAACAATAGAAACACACGGATTAACGAGGATGTCGACGCAGACCGAGCGTGCCAGATTTCTTGAACCCGCCATTTTACCCTAACTTGTCGTAATTAATTACATTAATATTTTTAAAAAAATCACGAGAGTATTAATTGAAAAAAATTAGATTTATAAAAAAATTAAGTAAAAATTCGCAGCAATAATTGCTGGAAAAAAAAGAGATCAAAACACTACATATATTTACAATATGTAGTGTTTTGCGAGCGATTTACCGTGAAGACACAAATGTGTGAATAAAAATTTTCGTGTGCGCAATATATTGGAACGATTTTATTTCAACCAAATTAAAAAAAAGGAAGCGAAAATGCAACGCATAGATTGCTTATTTTGCTACAAATCTGAATTAGTGACAAATAAAGGTACTCAAATTGCAAGACCATGACTTAAAAATTCAGAAGAGAAATCCCGACTACTGATCAGTATTTCGCAGTGAGCTAATAGCCATTGACTTTCTTCCCCGTGGAAACGAGATATGTCTGATAGCAGAAGTGCAATACAGCACTTGACCAATTGGCAAAGCGTGAGAGATAGCGCTGGAGTGTCAAGTTAAAACGGCTTTCCATTTCGCATCAGATTCCTTCCCATGTCGATCTTGAAGGAAACGAGATTGCGGATACTTTGGCTAAAGCTGGTGCTTGCGAGGCTTCTGTGCCGTCTGCACCCCTCACCTCTTTGGAAATCTTCTCAAAAATAAAACACAAAAACAGGACCACTTGGAATGTCTCCCCAAAGCACCCATGGTATCAGCATTCTCGACCCTGGCCCAAGGTTTTAATAGACAGGAACAAGCAATTCTTGCCCGCTTACGAAGTGGTCACCTTAAATCAATGAAATTTTCAGAAGGATCCAAGAACTTTGAAATTTGTACCAACTGTTCTTCAGACCAGGCTTCGCCTCACCACATCCTCGCCTGCCTGGGGCTCACCAAACAGGATTTAGGAAAGGAAAAATCTTTCTGCAAAAACACTAACGTTCGGCGACAATGTCGCCGTGATTCTGGCAAAGGATTATTAATACTATCTAGAGTTTAACTTGGGTTTCAACATTTTGCTAAAACATAAATCGAAATCAGCAGAGTTGCACATGAGAGTGCAAGAATCATTCCCACTGCAACATCCAGAGCAACCCATCACATGGCAGTAGCTTGGTTGCCGCAAAATTGTGACTTGGCGATACCCAGGGGAAAATATCCCTTTTGGCACAGATTGGGGCAATTTAAGCCTACTACTTCAATTTGGAGCATATAGGCCCTGGTTTCCACAATTGGCGCAGCACTTGCAACACTGGAAAACCAAAATCCATGACTTTCCATGATTTCTTTTTTTAAAAAAATAGCAAAAATCATGACTTTTCATGACAAATTTTGTTCAATACTGAAATTCATGACTTTCCAGGTGCGCGGATACCCTGTGAATATTAATCATGAATATCTGGCTCTCCCTCACAAACAAATAAGATTTCCGGAAACTTCTGTGATCAGTGATTTTTTTAAACAGCTGGACCTTCGATCTCTGGAAACTTCCGGACCGCTGTTAGCGAAAATTTCGGAAATCCGGAGCACAATCAGCCCTGCTTTCTTCACTCAATTCCACGGCACTGCTTGTTTGTACACAAATTTATGTTACTTAATATTATTTATAACTGGCACAGTTAATTCAATTCTGGCTCTTGTGCTATTTAACTTAACTTTAATATGCATTACCTAAAAGGTTGTTTAATTATACTTCAGATTTATACAAGTGACCCTATGCTAACCAGATAACTTTTAATCTACAATTTAAAGTCATACATTTATCATATAAATGAAGCGATAAAAATGATTTAATCCATTGTCAACATGCTCTTTAAGTAATATATATTCTAGTAATTATGATTAATAATTGTCAATGTAAAAAAAATGATGGAACAACCATTTTCTGTGCTATATGAATAAAAAATATAAAATTAAAGAAAAGATTTTTATAAATATTTTATCAGCTCTAATGAAACCATGGGTGCAAGTTGGAAAAAAGGCCAGGACTGAAAATTTTTTGACTGAAATACCTAACATACACAATACCCCCTCGACATATGCAAACTATCTAAGAAAGCTTTACCATAATACATTAAGTTTAAATACTGTACAAAAAATATTTATTCATCTGTCTTTTGATAAAATAACAACAGGACATAAGAAAGTAGACCAATAACGTAGACCTAAAATATATTTTTAAGGACAGAAAAAAAAATTTCTGATTTCCGTCTTCGAGTCAGTCTTGTTTCAGTCTTACTTCCGTCCGAGGACATTTTCGAAAGACGGAAATCCGTCCTGGGGACGGAAGACTTGCACCCATGAATGAAACAGATTTTAAAGTTTCTGACATAATCAAAGTTGAAATATTCTGAAGTACATTGAATTAAAATGTATGTATCAGTAAATAATAGATATGATTAATAAAATTAAGCTCAAGTGATTTCAGAAATTATGCTTGAAAATTATAACTATGAATCTTAAATATCCAAATTAAGCTCAGATAAAACTATTTAAAATAAACAATATCTTAGAGAGGAACTGCAATTAATTAACAATAATGAATTTTAAAACATACAAGCATTTAAAAGATTTCAGCTAATTTATTAAATCTTATGTACAAATTGTACATGGTAATAATTTTTAATTGATTTATTTATCTTATATACAAAATGCACATAATTATAACTTTACAATCAGGTGACATTCAAATTAGTATGTACAGGAAAGAAATTAATTATTGCAACATTTTACTATTTCTGCAGGAAGTTCCTAAATGTTTTAACAAACAAGCACTTGTGCATATGCTTCCGAGGAAGTTCTGTTTCTTTCATTGTTACCATCCATTCGCTAGCAACAAAACTATCATCTGTTTGAATGGCACTAGCTGGACAAGACAAAATCCACAAAGCAACTCTACTTAAGTACGGAAACTTTGTCTTGGCGCGGATCCAGTACTGTAGAGGATTAAACTTGTTCTCTTTATCAAGATCCAGTTTGCCCATAGTAAATGGCTCAGCCAAATATTCCTCGACCTCTTCACTGAAGCTGATATTCATGGATTCATTTTCAGCAGACATGGTGTCGCACAAATCGGGAAACCCTTCGCCACTAGAAGCTACGTTATGGACATCTATGCCATTCATCAAGAGAGTTTCATAACACTCTCGAACCAAGATTTCAGCATGATTCTGAGTTTCCAGCCTGTCTTCGGGAGTCAGAAACTGCAACTCCTTGAATCTCGGATCCAGCATGGTGGCGAGTTTATGATGTATGGTAATTCGCTTTACTACTTCATTGTCGATGGAAAAATTCATGAAGCTTTTGGCGGCAGCTAGAAAAGGTGATTCATCTGCATTTTGCAAACAATGAGTTTTCCACTTTGTAACCCAGGGTAGGACTAAGTTTAAAGTTGGATTTGTTAGGGATGAAAGCTCATTGTAGCCATCTCTAAATATTTCCAGAAAGTCAACAACTAAGCTCAGTAGTTCTTGGTCGATGCAAAAGCTTTCCAGCTCATCCCGATCAATCAAAATGTCTTTAATATGTTCCCATTGGCTGTTTATGGATTCCAACATACTCAACACAGACTTCCAGCATGTACTAGAGCACATAAGCAGATTCTTTGGCAAACTACTTTGCAGTTTCTTTTCTTTAAAATGCAACACAAGCAACCTGCACTGGTGTATCAGTGATACGAAGCAGGCAAATGCATATGGATCTTCCATGTCCTGGTCTTGCATGCCATCTTCATCTTTTTCGTCAGTTGTAGTGAGTGTATTTATGACTGTTTGAACAGCTATATTCAGAGCGTAACAAATACACTGAATGAACTGTTCACTGTTGTTGAAGGCATTAACCATGTTAAAGGAATAGTCGATCACGAGTAACCTCTTAAAGTCAGAATGCATAAGAGCCATGCATTCTTGAAAAAGCTTGGTAACATCTTCCGGTGCTTTCCGGTCATAAGGAAATTCTGATGTATGAAACATAACAGATTTAAACAAGCCATCCTCATTAGCATAATGACAAGATAATGTAATATAAGACACTTTTTCATTGACATCTACCCATATACTAGCAGAAAATGATAATCCATATAAAAGTTGAATTTCGTTTCTGAAGCTTTCCTCTGCTTGGACATACACATCATTGACAAGGTATTCTTCTAAATCCTCTGGAGGACACATGTATTGAGTCAAGTTAACATCTCCGACAGTTGCACCAATTTGTATAAATGTTTGCAGTAAATCTTTGAACTCTGTGTTGTCTAATACTGAAAATGGTTTAATTTTGTTGATAAAGAAAAGCAAAACTTGTTCTTGCAGCTTGGTAGCATGGTCTCTGAATTTAACCATCTGTTGCTGAAATACTGGTTTCTCTGGCATTTTAGATGGATCCAATACTCCAACATCACTTAAAGCACCTGTTAGACGGCGTTTTTTGGTTTTATCTCGATTGTAACGCTGTTTTCCACAAGATTTCAAATGAGATCTGAGAGTCGATGTACCATAACTGTGACTTTCATAGCTAAATACAGCTGAGCACTTCACACAAGCTACAAAAGATTTGCACAACAATACTGCCTCTTTTCCAATGTGGATAACATGATGATCAATGTTAAGTTTTTTAACTTCATCCTCACTGATAAGCAAACGAACATCTCCAAAGTTGCTCCACACATCACTTTTGATTCGCTTGAACTTTCTGACATCCAGTATCATTTTATCGGTAACTACAGCCATTCTTTTTTCAAACAATTTTTCAATAGTTTCCTTTTGCTTCCTACGAGCACTTTCTGCTTCTAAGTCTTTCACAGATAATTCGAAGACAGGTTTGGTATAATACTTTTTGGTATATATTTTGGTTGTAGCACCATGCTTTGATCTTCTGTGAGTTGGTCTCCTATAATATAAAAAAAAAAAAAAAAAAAATTGTTTTGAACTTGTTTTATGTTTTGAACAATTTTCTATAATAGTAAATACATTTTTATTAAAACAAATGTAATTGAAAAATATGTTAAACTAAAGGTAAAATTATTTTATATACAGCAAAATAATTATATTTCCATTGAGAAAATTTTAAACCTGGCTGAATTTTATTAATGAAAACAAAGTAAGCAAAATATCAAAAAAAATAACAAAAAAAATTTCTAGGTATAATTACAATTAGCAATACTTAATCTCTTAAGTTAAGACAACTGAACATTGCTCACATTACACTAAAGAACAATTAATTTGTATAAAAACTGAATTCATTATGGCTCGCAAATGCAATTTTGTTTCTTAGATTCTTCCAAAACATTTTGTATAGTAGTAAACCTTAAGTAAAAATTTAATTTTAAATTGCTTTTTTAAAAGATCTATTTAAACAGAAAGTGATAAAAAACTAACTTAAATAAAACAAGAACAAAAATAAAGTTTTATGCAATATGTATCTATTCATTAAAAAAAAAAAGGTAATTAAGTTCAATAAGTGCAAATATATAGGCAGCAATATCAATGTGTGCTTCAGCTGTAAATTAATTATATTGTTATATTGAGGTGCAGTGAAGTTAGAATCAAGCAGTGAAATTAAATGGTGACTAAATGGCTTGTAAATAATCAAATTCATTTTGAATGCTTACCTCCCAATTATCTTCACTCAAATGAACTGGACTGGCTATACATCCAACTGAAATTGCTCCATCGCAAGTCAATCAAATTCATTCAATATTTTGTTTAAAATTTTAAAATGTCTAGAGGAAACAAAACGTACATCCAACAACATGAATACTTTCAGTTGTTTGATTTTACAAGCCTTAAAGTTTAATCACCATTTAATGACAAAAGTTTCGTTGAATTGCTATAGAAATTGTGAATCAGAATATTTTTAGAGCACCCTATAATATCAAAATGAGAAAAAAGGTGCATGCACACATCTATGAAATAAGAAGTAAAATTATAGGCATCCAAAAACTTTCAAAAATGCTTTACGTAAAATATATTAATTATTCTTTGTATTATAATAATACATTGAAGCAATCCCTTAAGTATAATATATCCAAATATAGAAGTAACGAAAGTAATAATAAATGCTATAAAGTACTAGAGTATTAGAACAGATTCATCAAAATATCCAAATAAACCTTATAACGAATGTTTCTTGAATCACATAAAATAAATTGAATAATTTTTTCTTTAAAGAAATACAGTAAATATAATCACACCTGGCATCCAAACAAAAATGAGTGCCATAAAATGAGAGCCCTATACTGTCAATGTATCGCAAATATTTACTTACTGCTAATTAAACCAGACTAATTTTGAAACAGGTGTGATTAATTTTGAAACCAATTTTGAACAGGTGAATTAGAAAACTGACAGAATGATTGAAAATAATGAAATCAACATAAACCAGGCTGATTCAGTACAACCGTTTTAAAATTGGAGGGGAAAATCAATATAAAATGATTGAAAATTACGAAGATGGAACAGCAGCCGAATCATTTTTATATTAAGAACAGCAAAATGCTTGTAAACCTTCAATTTTTAAAGAAAATTTGAGGACATAAATTTTAGCTGAGTTCAGAAAAAATTAATTATTATGAGTGTAACAGAAAATTATATAAATCAAAAAAATGTTCTTAGTTTCCAGAAGAAATAAAATCTAAAAAAGGTTTAAATCAGATTTAAATATGCCTTTTAAAGAATTTAAAAGAAATATGCCAATGATATTTGAAAAAAACTAAATTTAAATCCTAATTTAAATTTACCAAGTCTATAAAAAATTCCTAAAAAATGAAAAAAATGCCTCTCAAATTAATCAAAATTAATCTTAAAATGAAAAATAATGTTATTTATATTTTCAAGGAAATGTTCACATGCTTTAATTGGTTTTTTAAATGTAATAAAAAATAAATATGTAATTTATGGGTAAAGTAAGATGCAATAAATACCTCCTAAAGATAAATAAGAATTATATAACATAAGCATTATTAAATGTTTTTTGATATTCTTAAAAACAAAGGAATGTCAATTGTCTAAAAGCGAATTCTCGTATCTTGAAACTTTTCATTCAATACCAATATTTGTTATTGGAGCATACTTAAAAGACAAAATTCACTAATTGAAATGTCTTTTTTCTTTTCCAAATTCTTTTTTTCTTCTTCTTTTCTTTCCACTTCATTTCTTGTTTTTGAAAAACATAAATCGTTGAAATCAAAATACAGAAATTTGACTAAATAAAAGATAAATTTGTTTCACTTTTCTTATTAAAAAATGAATCTTAGACAATTCTGATTAATGAAATATTTATTTAGAAAAATTACTCATGACTAAAAGCTTTTTAGAGAAAATGTATGATATATAAATTGGAAGATTAAAAAAAAAAAAAATGCTGTGGTATTGTATTTAGAGTAAATTACAAAGAAAAAAACTGATTAACAAGCAAAATGCTCTAAAACAAAAAATATTATTCAAAATTAAAAAAATAAATAATGTCCTATCACGGAAAAAAAACCACCAAAATATACAAAGAAAGGCACATATCATCAACAGTTTAGCCATGACCTCACTAATATAAACAAGCATTAAAAATATATTACATCATGATTGCAGGGTTCATTTCGCCCCACTTGTCTTTTTGATAAAAAATTTCAGCCCCACTTGATTCATGTTATACACCCTCATACATAAATATAAATGAAACATAGAAAGCTTTAATTAAAAGACATTTTTCCCTTTGCTGATTGGGAGAATACCAATACAGTTTTAATAAACCAATTACAGTTACTAAGCTTTCCCTTATTCCTAAAATGAAACATTTTAGGGATTTACTTTGCAAGATTTACCTTAGATTATATCGAACAACACAACGACTTCGTGTACACTTTGATAAAGGCTCTCTGTCTAATAGCTAATAAATACATTTTGTACCCTCTTTCCCTGCCTAAGACCCGTTTTAATCTTTCCACTCGGCAACATCGTTATATACATATGTATAATGCAATTCTAACTGACTTTCTCATACAGTTGTATGGTTTTCAAATATTTTTTCCCTAAAGTTACAGGGGTGCCCATCCTCCTAAATATGAAAAATCACCCCCCTCAAATTTAAAACAAAGTTTTTATTATCATTATAATTATTTTTTTTAATCTACATCTGATTCATCTCAATTAGACAGACTGTTAGAAACATGTAAAATATTATTTTTAGATGACAAAAAAATAACAGCATTTTTCCACGCTGTTATTTTTTATTATAATAAATAAATGAAGAGTCCCTTTAAGATTTCAATAGAAAATTGACTCACAAAGTGGTAGTGGTGGTGTGTTGCATTAAAAATTATTTCAATTTTACAACCAATTTGGTTCTGACTGCTGAGCCCCAGTTTAATGTAACTAAAAATTTATTAAAATATAACTAGAGTAATAAGTACATATCAGGATTAATTTAAAGTATGTAGAAAGAAAATTTTATATTCTAAATTCTTATCTATGATTGCATATTAGGAAAAATTAAGCATGAATTAACAATATTCTCTCAGGGTCTAAATTGTATAAGTTAAGAATATTTAAAAAATAATGACATATTTTAGAATAATGCAGTTTTTTTTTTTTTTTAGTTTAAGTTTTCTTTTAACATAACTATATCACAATATGTAAAGTATAATTGTTGGTATAAGAAAATTTTTAAAGCTCATAAGTATGAAACGTTAAAAGTTCTTTTCTGCGAACTTTAAGCTAATCATTTTATATTACGTATTCACAATATTTAACTAATTCAGGCTCATTTTGCAACACTGCTTTTTTTTTCATATGTTTAATTTTTTATTTATTTTTTTTTTCTCCCTGGGTGTTTTTTTTTTTTTTTTTTTTTTTTTTTTGCAACCTGTGAGAATACTAATATATAATTTCTACATATTATACATCTATATAATATATTTATAGAATTCATCAAAAAATGGGAAATGTCAATGAGCAATTAAAGCTATAATTGCGAATTTCTAAAATAATTAAAAATCGTTTTTTATTTTTAAAAAAAAAAGAAAATTCTCATTTATAGTCACAATTTCTTAATAAAACATGACAATAGAAAATCAAACTTACAAAATTCAGATCTTAATATTTTTAAAATTATAATTGCACAAATATTCTAAAATATTCCATTTTAAAAGGGAACACAAAAATGCAAAGTAAACTTCCAATAAAAAAAATAATAAAAAAATTCCCTTCTTTTTTTAGCTATTTATTTTAGTTTACATAGTTAATATTTTGATCTTTTATATCAAACTATAGTTGGAGCAGAAAACAGGATGTATTCATATCTAAACACTAGTAAATATATTATTTTAACTTTATCTTGATATTATTAATAAGTTGCAAATTCATTATTAGTATCTAACTGCAATATAATAATGTTCTTTTATTATTGTTTGAAATCTGACAAAAAATAGGCTAAATTTGTAATAACACAACTAAATGAAACAAACACATAAAAAGCTTTTTTAAATAGTACAGAAATTTATAGTCTTTGGTAATTACCATCAAAACGACAGTTTTCGCAAAATAAATAAAAAACTATTTGATTTCTTTCATTAAATAATCCATATTTTTCAAGTTATTATAAATAAATCAAATTTCTTTTTATTTATTTGTTTACTATTTTTTAGATGAAAATCGGGAGACAGTAGTTACCTTCAATAAAGTCTCTGACAAATTTCTCAAAATGTAAATACGTTTATTGACTCTGAAGAAATGATACTTCATTGTTCTGCAGAGAAAAATGTTCTTTATAACACAAGTTATATTTTATTCAACTAGTGTCACAAATAGTGTTTTATTTGTCCTTTTTGTACTTAAGATATTAAACACACAAAAGGAGGAGACACATACAAAAGGATGCGTAGAAGAAAATATACAATT